GCCCTTGGGTTTCGCTCCCTCGCGCCCCCAAAAGCTGCGCACCAAGGGTCACTCTTAGCCAGGGCCACTCTTGCGTCTAGCCGACAAACGCAACACCGGGACGAACAAGCCTTGGGGTCACATCGTCGTTGCTGCAGGGGCGGTTTGCTTCGGTGTCTGGCCGCGCTTCGCGTGCGGGCCCAGCCGCGAGCGCCGTAAAGACCAATGCCCCTACCGATAAGTCGGGCCTGTCCCTCTACAGAAGGGATACTCAAAAATAGGCAGAACAATAGTATGGGGACTACTGTTTTAATATTTTTGGTCATCTTTTGAATATGTTTTGACTATTTTGTTTTTCGTCCAAAATCCCGCTGTAGGAGAACAGGCCCGACTTAACCCTACCGATCTGCGTTACCCGATCTGCGTTGCGAGATCCGAACCCGAACCAAAGCACGGGTCGGTGTTGGAGGTCGCCGCAGCGATCGCAACGGCCAGAAATCGGGGCAATGTGCTTGTCGAGGAGTGGCATGCCCCTTCCCAGCACCCCCCCCGCTCTGCGGTGTAGATGTGGCCCAGGCTCAGCCATTCAACGACAGAGAGCTGGCCACAACGGGGCTGGGACGAGGATGAATCTGTTCCGGAACGTTGCGGAAAGCTCTCAGAGCGCTCTGGAACGTTCTGAGAAGGCCGCGGCGCCCGAGACGTCATCCAGAGCCGCGGGATCTCAGATATTCTCGATTTATCTTCGCCCGATATGATCCTCGTCCTGGCGTCGTCTGAACGTGGCCCGGACTCCGCAATTCAGCGGCCGAGGTCTGGCCAGTTGTGTCCAACATGGGCAGTCATGGAGGAGGTGGAGGAGGAGGAGGAGCAGGAGGAGGAGGAGCAGGAGGAGGAGCAGGAGGGATCGACGATCACGCGACCAACTTTGTCGCCGCTGAGCGCCCCGACCAGTGCTTCGAGGCGGTGGCCCCAGAGGCCCACAGGGAGCCCCGCGCACGGCCTCGGTGGGCGCGGGCGCGGGGCCCCCTCGGCTCCATCCCCGTCGCCGCGCGCTGCCCGTGAGGATCGCCAGGGGGTAAGCGGGTCCTGAGGGGAAGCGGGTCCTCAGGAGCTTCGCCCTGTTTGGCTTCCCTGGGCCCTCCACGGGCCCCAGGACTGTCAGGAAACGGCTCGGGACGAAGCATTGGTCCCAGGCAGCCCCAGGAATTTCAGAAAACGACTCGAGATGAAGACTTGGTCCCGGGGGTAGTCCCCAGGGTCCAGAACCCGCTTCCCTCACGGGACCGCCTTCCCCCATGCTGCTAAGACGAGGGGGCCGTGTCCTGCGCCACTTCTAGCTGCACCGGGCTGGGCAGGCTCATACGTCCAAGATGGAGTCTCTGCTGATGATGGGACGGGCGGACATCAGGAGGGGAAGAACACACAGACACAAGTAATCGGCGACCCGCAGGGAGATATGCAAAAATATGGGAAGTGGGGGGAAGGCGAAAACCCAGAAAGTATGTATGGGGAATCCTGGGATTCGTGTCTATTCATTTGTGTGTGTCCCTGGGGCCCTTTCAGACTCATGGGAGGAAGTAGACGGTGGCGCAACACAATCTCCTTGTGCGGCCATCCGTGCTCGCAGCGCGTCGGTCCTGCAGTGCCTCGGCCGGTGCTCTTTGTTGCAGGTTGCTCTGGGTCCATGCGCTGATTGGACCATTGTTGCGCTTCTCACCCGAGTCCGAAACAATCACAGGGTTCGGTCCTTCGCCAGGTGGTTCGGCTTACACGGCCGTCCACCTTACATGTGAAGGCATATCGTCTCAGCCAGGCTTGTCTCGACTCCCCACGCCATCCCTGTCAAATCACACAGTGCGGTGCTTGATCTAACAAGCGTTATCTGCAAGAGCCTATCACATAAACAATTTGGTTTACGTACGCGCGCCCCCGGCGGTCGCACGTCGAAATCAGTCAAACATCGTATCGAAGATGCCTACGGCGAATCACCACCGCCCCCTGCCCTTGTGGAAGCGCCTATGTGGGCGACAGCTTGGCTAGAGCTTGGCCAAGCTATCGGGCCAGTTGTTCCCCGAGTCGGTCTGGAAATCCTTCGCGAAGCACGTGGGGGAGCAAGGGGTTTGAACTCGCCCATGTGCCCGAGCGTTGGGGCAAGAGCTCTGCCAAGCTATCGGACCATGTGTTCCCCCAACCGTTGTGGAAACCATTCGGGGAACACTTGGGGGAGGATGGCGGGGAAGATCAGAAGGAGGAGGATGAGGAGGATGAGGCGGAGGAGGAGGAGGAGGAGCAGAGGAGGAGGAGGAGGAGGAGAAGCAGGACCAGTGTAAACCCAAGAGTCATCAACGATAATGGAATAAACCCACCCTCCAAGCTCCCTCTTCATAGGCCCATACAACGGTTCATGCCTATTGAGTGAACTGCCTCGTTGGAAGACAAACGTCCGAAGACCCTGAAGCATGCAAACAAATGGTTCTCGGGATTCCAACGCCACGAATCAACCTGACTATTGCGTTTTGACGATCCTCAATCGTGCTAGAACGCCAGTCCTGGGACTTCAGCAGATCGCAACAACGCAATTGTTGCGCCCGCGTAATCCTGAATCCTTTCAAAACACCATGTCTGGTAAAGGCGAGAGCCACATTTTGAAAAGGAGCCGCCCTCGATACGTAGAACTCTTGCGAATGCTTAAAAGGAGTGTGCGCCGCGCTAAGGCGAGAGGTACATTTTGAAAACGAGCCGCCCTCAATCCGGGAAGCTCTTGCAAATACTGAAAACGAATGTGCGCCGCGCTACGGCGAGAGGTACATTTTGAAAACGGCCCGCCCTCAATCCGTGAAGCTCCTGCAAATGTTTAAAGAGAATATGCGCCGTGCTAAGGCGAGAGCCACATTTTGAAAACGGCCCGCACTCAACCCGTAAAGCTCTTGCAGATGTTTGAAACGAATGTGCGCCGCGCTAAGGCGAGAACCACATATTGAAAACGGCACGCCCTCTATGTGTGAAATTGCTGCCACATGTTAAGCTTCAGAGTCATAAATTGTGAGGAAGTATTTGGCGAAACGCCTGGCTTGCCCTAAAAAGTGGCCACGGGGTGCGACAGGGAGAAGTTATGTATAAGGAAAAGGAAAGGAGGAGGAGGAGGAGGAGGAGGGAACATTTTGGGAGCCTTTGGGGGCACTCTTTGGGCCTCCTGGGAGCTTCCTGGGAGGCTATTGGAGGCACCTTGGGGGCCTCCTTGGTCCTCTCGGGGGCCATGGGGGGCTTCTCGGGGTCACCTTTGGCCGTCTCAACGCATTCCTGGTCCGTCCGATTCCGTCGGAAGCCGTCTTCGGGGCCTCTTCTGGGCCGACTTGAAAACATCTTAGGGTGCTCCAGGGCCGTCTTGGAGGCCGCTTGGGGCGTCTTGGAGGCCTCTTTGGTCGTCAGGTAGCCCTCTTAGGGGCCGTCTTGGGGGCCTCTTTGGCCGCTCGGGGGCTGTCCTGGAGGCCTCTTGGGCGATCTTTCGGGGCTCTTGGGCCGTCTCGGGCCGTCGGAAGGCCGAAAAGAAGCAAATGCCCCAAACCCCTCAAACACTTTCCTGGAGGCTCCCTTGGAGGCCTTGATTCCGATGGGGGGTGGAGGTCCAAATATATTTCTAGATCGGAGATCGTATGTGGTTCATCCTGTTGGGGCATCCTGCGTGGCGCACTCCATGTGATACAACTCACCAGTGCTCTCTAGTGAGTTGCCAACTCCACTGCTCGCGCAATCACCCCACCCACCCACCCGCAACTTGCTTTGCAAAACCCATGCGGCAGCGATTGCGATGAATGCTTGGATTGGCTGGCGACTCGCTGCGGCCGTGCTAGCGCGCACGCTCGCGCGCACCGCGGCCAGCTGGTCTGACGCGACCGGCGCGGCCGCTGTGGAGCTGACCTCTGGAGACTCCCCAGCGCGTCCCGCACGCCGGGCAGACGCGCGGGCACTTCAGTACAAGTCGGTAGTTCGGGCGGGCGCGGTGTCATGGCGACTTTGGCAACGGCGAAAACAACGAGGATAGTAGCGATCCAGGTGACGATGGTGACATTGACGGCACGGCCAATGTCGGCACCGATGTTGATCACGTCGCTGGCAATGATGGTGTCCATGTGTCGGCGATGGAGGTGCTGAACGGATTTTGCTTCGACATGCGCGCGCGGCCGACGGTCCGACTGGCTCGCAATGCATTATGTGGCAAGTGTCGTGCCCCCCTTGCCCCCACCCAGCATGCGCGCAAGGGCGTTCGAATGATTTCGACATACGCATGCGAGACGCACGATTGGTCGAATGTGATTATCAAAAAAATGAAACACCTATGGCTTCTCTAGTGTGCGAATTTGCAACAACGCGCGCGCAGACTTTTTTCGAATGGCCACGTATATTCCTAGGTGCGACCGACCTTGTGCAATTTATGCGGTGGAACCGACGTGGTGCAAGTTCTGTGGTACGCGCTAGATCTGTGGTGCAATACACGTGTTGCAAGCTACGTGATACAATCTAGGCGGCGACGAGGCGGCGGCGGGGCGGCGATGGCGACAACATAGCCGCCAAACCGGCAATCAGGCCCAGACGACGGGCGGCGACGGGGTGGCGACGGCGAACACGGAGCCGCCAGACCGACATGCAGGGCCAGACGACGGGCGGCGACGGGTCGGCGACGGCGAGCACAGACCCGTCAGACCGGCATGCGCGGCCAGCTTCGTGGAAGAGAAGTAAGAACCCCTCAGTGCAATCATTTTCAGGAACAGATGCACGTTCCCCTCTGTCCCCCCCTCTTTGTTAATTCAAGCTTCGCGCGGCCCGCTCAGCTTCGACCGGAAGAGGTGCGCTCTCGACCCGCGAATCAACAAAAATATATATATATATATATATATATGCACGATGTGTATATGCGCGATGTATCCAACGGCTCCCCGTCCGATGCCCCCAGGCCCCAGACGCATCTTCATGGCACTCTTCGCCGTGTTTCGTGGCCACCGGCCCGCAGCCTCCGTTCAGGCTCAGGTCCGACCCGCCCAGGTTTCTCGCGCGCAGGGCGGCCGACTCCGAAAGACGCCAACCGCACGCCTGCACTGATGCACGCTGGGCCGATCGTGGGCCCAGGCGGTGCAAATACCTTGAGATGTGGGGGATTGCAACTCTGTGCGCCAGGCGTTCTCGCCCGGCTTGGGGCCCCAGGATCATCACGGATCGATCCAGGTCGAAAAACGCAGCAGGAAGATGGAGTTTGGGGCTTTGGTTGTGATATTTCGCGACGGTGGGATTTGTTCGCAACGTCGCGTCTCGCGGTGCGCCATCCTGGCTAGGCCAGGATCGGCCTCACGTTGGAGCGACCTTTCGTTGGGGTGACCTTTGCCATGGCGCGGGCCACTGGGGTCCCAGCGGTACTGGCTTACGCGCTTGGACGTGGCCCCCCCGCGGGCCCCGAAGGCTAGCGCCGAAGATCCGACGTTGCAAACAAATTAAAGCGTCTCCAAAAATTACGCCTGGAGCCTGATACACCCCATATGTCTGCAATTGATGTTCGAACCGGATCGATGCGTGAGAGTCCCTGGCGAAACGTTTCGCTCGAAAAACATGTGGCGCAAGGTTTTCCGCGTTGTCGATAGACGGGCGATTACCGATCCTGGGGGCGGGCACCTGGAGCGGGGAAGAAGAACAGCCCACGGCAGCCGGCCTTGCCAAACCCAAACATTTGGCGTCTCGATTTGTTCGAGACACGGGCCCCCGACCTCTCGACCGCTTCCCCAGGACTGGTTTGTCATCCCGAGTCGTTTTCTGACGGTCCCGAGGGTCCCGAGGCCCGGTGAGGTCCCCGAGAGGCCGACAGCGAGGAGAACGCTCCGTCTCGATTTTGTTGGAAGAGCCGGGTGTCTGGGCCTTGCGCGTTGCCGACAGGCGGACGGGATCCTCGGGGGCGGGCACCCTGCGCTGGGGAGCGAAGCAGCCCGCGGCGGCCAGCCCAGCCGAGGCGCGGGCCAGGCCTCTCGCTCAGCCGCCCCGCCGGGAAGACGCCAACAGAATTTCTCGAGACGCTGTCTGGGATGCCGGATCTGCTACGCTCCCCGGCGCCGGGTGCCCGTCCCCGAGGATCGGCAAGCGCCGGCCTGTCGGCAACGCGCAAAACCCAGGCACCCGGCGTCTCGAAAAAGACCGAGACGGGGCGTAATGAAAAATTCGTCCCGGGGAAGTGGGTCCAGAGGTCCGGGGCCGCGTCTCGGACAAATCGAGAGGCCGGATGTCTGGGCACGGGCTGCAGTCGTATGGTTGGCGCCTTCTCGCATCGGCTACACGTCAGAGTGACCTTTCGCCCGAGTGACCTTTGGTGCGGGCCCACCTGGATCCCCCCATGCCCAGCACATGCGTGCGCCCTTGCATCTGGCCTCCTAGCGGCCCAGCAGAGCCGCGCACCAACGGCCACTCCTGCCCACTTAGGGTCACTTCTGATTGTAGCCGACCGCAGCAGCACCGGCTGCCGCGCTCCTCGCCGCCAATGGCGCCGCCCGCTGCGGCCACTTCGGCCGTCCGCCCTGGTCGGGCGGCGTCGCCCGCGCAGAGGAAGCAGGGCGCTGCAGCGCCGGCGGACGAGAACGCGCCGGCCAACGTCCGGAGCGGTGCCCAGCGCCGCGCACACACCCCAGACCCCCCGCGGGTCCCGGAAAAAATGCGACGGGAGGTTTCCGAATAATTTTCAGCCTCCGGGGTCCCTCGCTGGGCCCTGGGACCTTGAAGAAATTACCCAGAGGATGGAAAGCACGTCCGGCGGGTCGACGTTATAGAAAAAGCATGACGTCGGGGGTCTGGGCCCTGACATCTTTTCGTTGGAGAAGAATCCCTTGAGGTCTGGGCGTTACAAATTATTCACAAGCGTTTTCGCGCGGTTCCGGACCTTGGAGACTGTCACACATCGACCCGGCTCGACGAATGCAGCAGAAAGGTTAGGTCAAGGGCTCGGGTCGTGATTTCTCAAGATGTTGCATGTGTTCGTGACATTGGATATGACTCACGATCGTGACCCTCCGTCGACGGAGGGTCCTTGTAACTGTTCGGTCTCCGTCGACAGAGGGTCCTTGTAAATGTTCGGTCTCCGGGGGCCCTCACTGGGGCCTGACGGTCAAAAAAATATTCGGAATGAAAACCGAGTCCCGGGGAAGGGTTCCGGACCTCTAGAGGAGCCACGTTGTGACAAAAGTCGCGACGTCGGATGTCTGCGCGGGGGGGGGGGGGGGCGCGAGGGGTGCGGCCTTCTGCGAAAGGAGGCCCCCTTCTCAGAGGCGGGCGGCTTCAAGGCGGGCGGCTTCTCGTGAAAGCCTTCCAGGCTTGCAGGAAGCCTCCCCGGGAGCCCCCGGGGAGCCCTTCCCGGAAGGCCCCCGAAGCACCCCCGCCCTCTTGGGAGGCCGCCCCCATCGCCCCGCCGCTGCCACGTGCTCCGCCCGCGGCCCCGGAGGCCCGACGGCTGCCTTCCCGGGTGGCGGCTGCACTTCCCAGATTCACTTTCGATGGTCCCGGGCCCCGATGTCGACTACGCGTCGGCGGCGAGCGAGGGGGGGGGGAAATGAGACGGGAGCAGGAGAAGGCCTTCTCAGAAGACGGCTTGACGTCTCAGCAGCCCTCGCGCCTTCTGAGGAGTTGTGCTTGTTTCCGGGGAAGGCTTAGCACACTTCTCCGAAAGCCGGGGGACGTCCGAGCCTTTTGAGAAGGCCTTTTCCTTCTCACTTCCCCCCCTCGCTCGCCGCCGAACACGTGAGAGTGACCCTTCGCCGGAGTGACCTCTGCTGCGGGCCCCCTGGGCTCCCCAGATCGCCGACTGTCGTGCGACGGCGGCGGCCTGCGCGCGTGGGTTTGGGCCCCCTCGCGCCCCCCCGGAGCCGCGCACCACAGGTCACTCTTGCTTCGGGTCACTCCAACGTGCATCCGACGATGATGGGCCCCAGAGGCCGACGTCGAGGAAAGCCGCCCAGGGTGTACAAGCCACATCGTCGAAATTCTGGGTGCACGGTGTGCGTGCCGCCAAGGTGCGGGCCTGGAGACCCCGCGAGGGGCCGAGGTGGCCGGAGCCGCCGTGGCCAAGGCCGCGCCTGTGGCGGCGCCCGGGCATTGGAGGGCCGAAAAGGGGACGGAGAGGGTAGAGGTCCAGCCTCCTCTGCCTCCTCTGCCTCCATGTACGCCTCCTTCTCTGCCTCCTCCTCCTCCTCCTCCACCTCCTCCTCCTCCTCCTCCTCCTCCTCCTCCTCCTTCACCTCCGCCTCCTCCGCCTCCGCCTCCTCCGCCTGCTCCTCCTCCTTCTCCTCCTCCTCCTCCTCCTCCTCCTCCTCCTCCGGCTCCTTCTTGGTAAAGCCTCGGGCCTCGGGCTGCGCAGGCAGACCCCCCAGGTAGTCCCTGGGGGTTGGGGGCTGTCTGCGCGCAACCGCAAGCCCTACTACTGGAAAGCCAGCAGCAGGTCCTAGCCGTGTTGAACAGAGCCCGCCGTCGGCGTCGCGCCGGGGGGAGCTTTGCCCACCCGGGAAAGAAGTCGCCAACAGTCGCAGCTGCTGGTTTCGGTGGCATTTGCCGTTTGGTGTCGTCCCCACTTCTGTCCTCGGGTGTTGCTGGATGTGGCCCTGGCCCAAGGTGGACCCCCAGCTTCTCGCGCCATCTTGGAGCCTACTGGGGCGCCCTCCCTGGCCCCGTGAGCTCATGAGCGGTGCCTTGGCAGCCGTCTGTACCTCCCGGGGAACGCTGGGGCCACCTTGGACCAGGGAGGTATCCGACGATATGCTTTGATCAATCGGCAGAGCTCCTGACAGACTATCCAGGGGTAAGTTGTTTTTCGCCCCGGATCCGCTGTTGATGTTCCAGGGCCCCAGAAGTCGCTCCCAGAGGCCGAAGTCGATGAAATTAGCCTGGCGAAGGACCCAACCATATGCAGTTGTGAATGCCGCAATTGTACTGGGTGGTGGCGGACGCACGCGGGGGGTGCCACTGGGACCTTCGGTGGAGCTCCCTATGGGGCCACGAAACGCTGTACTGGGTGGGTGAGACGCGGTCAGCAAGGGCTGTGCTGCGTGGTGGCGGACGCATGCGAGCGGTGCCACTGGGACCTTCGGTGGAGCTCCCTATGGGGCCACGAAACGCTGTACTGGGTGGGTGAAACGCAGGCAGGGAGCAAGGGCTGCGCAGGGTGGTGGCGGACGCATGCGGGCGGTGCCGCTGGGACCTTTGGTGGAGCTCCCTATAGGGCTACGAAGCGCTGTTCTGGGTGGGTGAAGCGCAGGGAACAAGGGCTGTGCTGGGTGGTGGCGGACGCAAGCGGGCAGTGCCACTGGGACCTTTGGTGGAGCCCCCTATGGGGCCACGAAACGTGCGAGGGGTGTGCCAGAATGGGGTGTGGAACCGCATGCCAGCGCAGCCACTGGGGCCTTCGGTGGAGCTCCCTATGGAGCCACGAAACGTGTGAGGGGTGTGCCGAAATGGGGGGTGGAACCGCATGCGAGCGCAGCCACTGCGGCGTTCGGTGGAGCTCCCTATGGGGCCACGAGACGTGTGAAGGGCGTGCCGAAAAAGGGGGTGGAACCGCATGCGAGCGCAGCCACTGGGGCCTTCGGTGGAGCTCCCTATGGGGCCACGAAACGTGTGAGGGGTGTGCCGAAATGGGGGGTGGAACCGCATGCGGGCGCAGCCACTGGGGCCTTCGGTGGAGCTCCCTATGGGGCCACGAAACGTGTGAGGGGTGTGCCAGAATGGGGGGTGGAACCGCATGCGGGCGCAGCCACTGGGGCCTTCGGTGGAGCTCCCTATGGGGCCACGAAACGTGTGAGGGGTGTGCCAGAATGGGGGGTGGAACCGCATGCGGGCGCAGCCACTGGGGCCTTCGGTGGAGCTCCCTATGGGGCCACGAAACGTGTGAGGGGTGTGCCAGAATGGGGGGTGGAACCGCATGCGGGCGCAGCCACTGGGGCCTTCGGTGGAGCTCCCTATGGGGCCACGAAACGTGTGAGGGGTGTGCCAGAATGGGGGGTGGAACCGCATGCGGGCGCAGCCACTGGGGCCTTCGGTGGAGCTCCCTATGGGGCCACGAAACGTGTGAGGGGTGTGCCAGAATGGGGGGTGGAACCGCATGCGGGCGCAGCCACTGGGGCCTTCGGTGGAGCTCCCTATGGGGCCACGAAACGTGTGAGGGGTGTGCCAGAATGGGGGGTGGAACCGCATGCGGGCGCAGCCACTGGGGCCTTCGGTGGAGCTCCCTATGGGGCCACGAAACGTGTGAGGGGTGTGCCAGAATGGGGGGTGGAACCGCATGCGGGCGCAGCCACTGGGGCCTTCGGTGGAGCTCCCTATGGGGCCACGAAACGTGTGAGGGGTGTGCCAGAATGGGGGGTGGAACCGCATGCGGGCGCAGCCACTGGGGCCTTCGGTGGAGCTCCCTATGGGGCCACGAAACGTGTGAGGGGTGTGCCAGAATGGGGGGTGGAACCGCATGCGGGCGCAGCCACTGGGGCCTTCGGTGGAGCTCCCTATGGGGCCACGAAACGTGTGAGGGGTGTGCCAGAATGGGGGGTGGAACCGCATGCGGGCGCAGCCACTGGGGCCTTCGGTGGAGCTCCCTATGGGGCCACGAAACGTGTGAGGGGTGTGCCAGAATGTGGGGGTGGAATATGCTGGGAGGGGTGTGAGCTCCCATAGCCACTGGGGCCTTCGGTGGAGCTCCCTATGAAACGTGTGAGGGGTGTGCCAGAATGGGGGGTGGAACCGCATGCGGGCGCAGCCACTGGGGCCTTCGGTGGAGCTCCCTATGGGGCCACGAAACGTGTGAGGGGTGTGCCAGAATGGGGGTGGAACCGCATGCGGGCGCAGCCACTGGGGCCTTCGGTGGAGCTCCCTATGGGGCCACGAAACGTGTGAGGGGTGTGCCAGAATGGGTGTGGGAGGGGGAGGAGGGGGGAGGAAGGGGAGGAGGAGGAAGGAGGAGGAGGAAGGAACGCGGGGCGACGTCTCTTCAAAACGAGGACCCAACACCACAGGATGGTTGGGAAATACGCCCGGATTTATAAAATATCTAGTCGGGCAACTCCCGAAGATATCGACCCAATCCCCAGGACTGGGCTTTCACGTCGAGTCGTTCTTTGACGGCCCAGGGGCCCGCCAAGGGCCCCTTCGACCCACCTTGAAACTATCTTTGGCCGAGGCTCCGGGAGAAGGGAAGCATGGAGACTTGCACCGGCGGCGAGCCCAGGGGGGAAGTGAGAAGGGGCAGGTTTTCTCAGAAGGCGGCGGGGATTCTCAGGAACCCTCCGAACATCTGAGAAACCGTATCTGTCAGCCTGGGGGGTGTCTACAGAAAGGGGGGACCCCGTAGGACCCCCCAAAAAAGCTAACAGCCAGGGGGGGGGGGGACAGCTCGAAACAAAATATTCAACGTTACGTTTCTGCCCGAAGGTTTTGCATGAAAACTCAAAATTCTGTGTTTGGTTTGCCCAGAAGGGCTGGGAACGTGCCATTGTGTATATTTTGTTGTTTTGCTTTGGTTGAAGGAGGGCTGCTCAGCGTGCGTCCGTGCGAGCGTGATATACAACGCTGAGCGGCACATGCGGGAGCGAAACATGCTCTGTGGAGCGTGGTGGGCGTCGTTTCAGTCGCGGTTGGTCGCGCAGGCATGTTTCTTTTGTATACCCAGTGGAACCAAGATGGGGAAGCCGTCGAACCGAAGTTTTGGATCCGCCAGGGCACGCCTAGGGGTGATTCGGCGGCCCGCCGAAGGAGGAAGGGCGAAGGAGGATGATAAGCGTGGAAACGAAGATGAGCGACAGCACGACCCCAAGCGCGGGGCACCAGGGAGGGCCCACTTGGTCGCGCGGTCCCGTCGCTCAAGACATCTCCAATCTCTCACCAATCCAATCGCTCAATCCACCGAGACCGTCGTGGACCTGCTCGCTGGTCGCTTGTGGTCGTGGCGTCTCTTATCCTTGCTCCGATGGCGGAGGCGACGCGGCGACCGGGGCAGCTAGACGAAGAAACAACTGCACAATCACAACTTCCCGAAATCCGTGTGGATTCGTCGGGTCGGCACGGGGGCGCCTCCAGCCATGGAGGGCCCATCTCGAGACCTGGGCCCGCAACTCCAGCGCGCCGCCGGAGCCCATGACGCGCGGGCACTTGGGACGCATGGGCACTCGGCGGAAGAACGCTCCGGCCGGCCAAACCAGCACGCCGAAAGGAACGCGCAGAACGATCCGCCTGCGGGGCGACGCGGGGGCCCGCCGTCCGGGAGCAGGTGGCGGCCGCTCCCCCGCTCCGACACCGCAGGATGGCACAAGTGCTCGGGGCCGCTCCGGAAACCCGCCGTGCCCGCGGCCGGCCTCCTTCGCGCGGCAGGTCGGTCAAGATCGGCCCCGGGACCCGTCCCAGGGTCGAACGCCTCAGTTTTCCGAGCGGCGTCCAACCGTGGCGACGCGGCCCGCCTTGGGCCGAACAGCCCCCCCCCCCGAAACGGCGCGACACGCTGGCGCCCGCCCAGATGGGCGCGACGCAGCGGCGTCCACCCAGGGCGGGAGAAGAGGGAGGGAGAAGAGAGGTGCGACGCGCCAGCGTCCACCCGCCGCCCTCCCACAAACAAGGGTGCGACGCGCCTGCGTCCACTTGGGGCCCGCCCCTCCGAAAGGGCGCGACCCGCCTGCGCCCAACCAAATGAGCGCGACACGCCGACGTCCACCCGCGGGGGCCGAAGAGGGAAAGTGCCGACGCATGACTGCGCACACACGCACACAATACACAGACATCTATCTATATATATATATATATATATACATACATACATACATACAGACAGACAGACATACATACATACATACACATATCTATGTGTATATATAGAGACATGCACACAGGTGTACAAAACTTGAAGTTCGCTGCGCCTTGCTTTGAAAGCTCATAGGGCTCAGAGGGCTCTTGGGGCTAATAGGGCTCATAGGGCATACCCATCTTCGTCGCCCTCCCCCTCTTCCTCTTCCCCGCCTTATTGATATTGTTTTGAGTTTCTCGCGCCCTCTGCCAGAGCGCCCCCCCCCTCCCCCGCCCCCCACACCACTTTTCAGGGGAGCCGTGTCGGGCGCTAGCGGCGGAGTTTTTTTTTCTCGCCGCGATGGCAGAAGCTCCCGCGGCATGGCGCGCTTCTCGGGCGGCGGGAAAGTTTCCGGCAGCGTTCGAGGGCCTTCCTTGAGGCGCGCGTGGGCGCAGGATTTGTTCGAGCGTGTTTCGAGGTTGGCGTTTGAGCGCCGTCGGCCGTCATGCGCGTTTGGCTTGCTGTGTTCGTGCGCTGGCGTTGGTTATTTTCGCCATTTCCTGGTGCAGCCTTTGGCTGCGTAGCGCCGTCGCCGGAGCAGGTCGGCAACTTACATGGCTGCGACGCACTTACGTGACGTGGCGTCGCGTTTGCGCTTGCGCGGTGGCCGCGCTCGCAGGTAGAAATTCGCGCTTCTCTAGGCCGCGCGCCGCCCGGGACGAGCCCCCGGTTGCTCATATCGGCAGGTTACGCGCCGAACCCAACATGCGCGCAGATTTGGGCAACCTCTCGGGCGCTACAATCAACGTCGCGCTGTCGAAACGATGGATTTTTTTCTACGGCGAAGCAGGCCTTGCAAACATCAACGCCCAGCGGTGTTTTGTAATATTTCAGGGCGACCGGTTTAGGTACGACAACGTTCGTGAGTTTTTCGCTACGCGGGCCCAGAAGTTGCGGGCCAAGTCAGGGCTGTCGCGCACTGCCGTGGGCGAGGGCCACCTGGGCTCTGCCGCGGTCGCGGGAGCTCCCGCAGCATGGTAGGTATCTCTGGCAGCGCAGAAGTTTCCGAGTCTCCTTTGTGGCGCGCGTGGACCGCAGAGCCCGCTCGGGCGCGTTTCCGGGCTGGCTGTGGGGCAATGTCGGGCGCTATTCGCGCGTCGTTCGCTGTGTGTTTTGCGCGGGTGTCAAATTTTGTGGCCGCGGCCCGGCCTAGCTTGCGACCTCCGCGACTCGTAATTTTGGTTCGCCGCGCGCATGCGCGTGCATTGGCTTGAAGTTTGGCGCGGCCGCGGTTTGGTTACGCAGCGCCGTCTTCAAGTCAGGTCGACAACAAATATGATTTCGACGCCGAGTCGCCGTGCAATTGGCATGTGCTCCCCCGTGGCTCGTAGCGTGCATGTTTGCGCGATGGCCGCGCTCGCATGGCGAAGCTCGCACTGCTCCGGGCCGCGCGCTGCCGTGGACAAGCCGCCTGCTGCTCACTCGCGCACGCCGCGTGCACAGAGTTCTTGGGACGCCCGTGTGGCGCTCCAAAAACCAGCATCGCCTGCGGCCCCCCGTATTCGAAGCGACGAAGCCGCGCCCTATGGCAGAACAGGCAAGACAAAAATCAGTGTCCAGCGGAATTAAAACAAGTCCAAACAGATGGCAAAACAGGCATGGCAAAAATTAGTGCCCAGCGGAATGTTGTGAATATTTCTGGGCGCACGGTCGGGCAACACAGTTATGATGTTTTTGCGTTTCGTGGGCCAAGAAGTTAACAGCCAGGGGGGCCCTGCCGATCCCTATAGATAACCCCCCTGACGTACTTGTCTTTGGAGAACGCTGAAAAGTAGAAATACTTACACCCATCAGAAATCTCAAGACAAAGCGGCAACTTCCGTGGACTCCAAGATGCGCTTGAGAAAATCAAGAGTCTGGATTGGACCCTTTCTTGGAATTCGTTTTTTCTTGGAATATGCATATATGTGGACCTGGACCACGGCTTCTTGGCGTAAGGTTTGCTTGACTCTGAGCAGGGGTGTACAGCAGGGAAGGCACATCAGCAACCCCCGAAAGTCCTGGCTGCGCCAACCAGGCCCATGGGCTGGCCTGCGCGGGTCGCCCTGTGGGCGCTCCTGTTGGCCGCGCTGGCGCTCTCGGCGGCGTCGGGTTACTGCCTCGGGGCTCGGGAGCCTGCGCCGTGTGCGAGAGTGATCGACACGGTCAGGAGCCGTGGGCCCTGGGCTCAACCACCGCTGTACGATCAAAAAGGCGCACAGGAAGGTCAGAGGAAAAGGTGCCCGCACCGCTACCCGTGCCTCGATTCTCCTGTGTGTGGGCCTCGTCGGTGGCCCTCGTCGCCACCGACGGATTCGCTGCGAAATTTTGGCCAGAACGTACCCAGGGAGAGGTCCGGGGAGTAGCAGTATCGGTACCTGGTGGTTTCCCAAGAAGCAGTATTTTCGGCACGCTGGCCCGTGTCTGTGGCTACTCGCGAGCGTACTTCACAGCTGTCCCCACCAGCGCGAGTTGCTCCGTGGCGCCCGTCTCGGCCCAAATCCAGAGACATTGCAGAGACACTCCAAAGATACTCCAGAGTGATCGACACGGTCAGGGATCGTGGGCCTTTTGCTCTAACATCACCATTCGGCCGCGAGCCCAGGGGGAAAGTGAGAAGGGGCGGGTATTCTCAGAAGGCTCGGAAGTCCCCCAGCCTTCTGAAAAGTGTGCTAAGTCCTCCCCGAAGACAAAAAACTTTCAGAAGGCGCGAGAGCTTCCGAGAAGTCCCGCCTCCTTCTGAGAAGGCCTCTCCTTCTTACTCCCCCCCTCAGTCAGGAGTCGTGGGCCTTTTTTCGACTAGACGTAAGAGTGACTTTTCGCCGGACTGACCTCAGTGCGGGCCCAATGCGGTCCCCCAATCGCTGAACGCGAGGCGGTAGCAGCGGCTTGCGCGCCCAGGATTGTCCACCCCGCGTCTCCCGTTCAGCCGGGCACCAAGAGTTATTCTTGACTAGGGTCACTCTTGCGTGTTGCCGATATTTGTTGCACCATCACCATTCAATCAAAAGCGCGCACATGAAGCGTGAGCAACTTTCCATGATTGCCCTGGCATCCTTCCCCTTCGGCCCATCATTGACCACTTTCGCTGGCCGCTCCCCGCTCGAAAAGTGTCGACATGGCCTTCCAAAGCCCTTGCATCCTTATCGGGCATCCTTTCTATACGCGTTGACTGCGCACCAGATCGAAGAAAAACAAAAAACTGCACAGACATAAACAGTTGAAACTCCGCGCGGATTTTCTGGATCGGCGCACGGGCCTCCCTGGCAGCTCCTCCGGCGCCGCCCCTGGCGCTCTGAGGGCGTACGGGATGGGGGTCCGGCGCCCATCCAAGGAATCCGCGCGAACCTTCGGAAGTGTATGTCTATGCAGTTGATTCTCCTTTCTAAAAACAGAAGAGGATCTACCCCCCCCCCGGCGTTATCGGTACCCCTTTTCGGTATGTAAATCATGTATGATTATGTTCACATGTCCATCCTAAATATGAATTTACACTATCCCAGGCAGGCCGGTATCCCCCCCTGAGGTTCCCTTGTAAAACATTTTGTTCTAACAAAACACTTTTTCACGAATCCCTTGCAACACATGGGACGAAGTGCACGCGCGCGTCGTCGCGCGCGCATGCCGAAATCCTTCAAAAACCTTCGGTGCCGGAAGGGTTTCGCAATCGAGTTTCCAAAAAACATACAAAAATTCAGGGTTTCGCAACACAGATGTGCTAAAAAAGCTTCCGCGCGAGCTCTTGCGAAATTTTAAGAGAACCATAGGTTTTTCAAGATTTTCAAAAAAATGCTCTTGAACGGGCTTCGCGCGCGCATGTCAAAATCTGTCGAACGCCCTTGCGCGTGTGCCGTCGCGAGAATCCGCTGCAAAACATGGGACGAAGTGCAGACGCGCGCGTCGTCGCGCGCGTATGCCGAAAACCTTCAAAATCCATCGGTGTCGGAAGGAGTTCAAAATCGTGTGTCCAAAAGACATACAAAAACACAAGGTTTCGCAACACGGATTTTCAACAAAAGCGTGCGCGCGCGCTCTTGCGTCGTCGCCGTCGTCGGCGTCGCCGTCCTCCCTCCTCCCGCGTCGTCGACGTCGTCGCCTACATCGTCCTCTGTCTTTCCTCGTGTTCGCCGTCGTCGTCCTTTTTGGCGTCGTGGTCGTTTCCGTCGTCGTTGTCGCCGTGAAGGTCCGTCCTCCTCCTCCCTCGTCGTCGTCGTCGTCGTCGTCCGTCGTCGGCGTCTCGTCGTCGTCCCTCCTATTTCGTCGCCGTCGTCGTCGTCGTTGTCGTCGTCGTCTTTCCTCCTCCCTCGTCGTTGTCGTCGTCGGCGTCGCCGTCCTTCCTCCTTCTTCGTCGTTCGCGTCGTCGCCGTCGTCGTTGTCGTCGTTGTCGCCGTTGTCGTCGTTGTCGTCGGTGTCGCCGTCGTCGTCCTTCCTCATCCCTCGTCGTCGTCTTCGTTGGCGTCGTCGTCGTGTTCGTCGTCGTCGGCGTCGGCATCGTTGTCGTCATCGAAGTCGTCGGAGACGTCGTCGGTGTCGTCGTAGTCGTTGTCGTCGGTGTCGTCGTAGTCGGTCTGAAGAGGTTTTGCAAACCAAGTTGCGGGTGGGTGGGTGGGATGTTTGCGCGAGCAGTGGAGATGACGACTTCAAGTTCAGCAGAGTGGTTCTCTCCCTCCATAGATCGCCACGGAGCAAGCGGGTCCTGAGGGAAGCGGGCGAGATGTTCGCCGTGTTCGGGCTCCCGGGACCCTCCCTCGGCCACATGACCGTCAACAAAGACGACTCAGGATGGAGAGTCGGTCCAGGGGAATAGATGATCGGGGGTCCCCGAACGGGGTAATCTGTGACTCCACCGTGTGGTGAGTGGGTGGGGATTCGGGGTCACCGCACCTCTAGGGTCCCGAAACCGTGTGGTGACGGACCCTTCGGTGAGGTCTTTGCGGATTTCGAAGTCACCGCCGGGTCTGTCACCACACGGACGGTCTGGGGACCCCCAAGGACAGAGCTTTCCGGTGGTCCACGTTGTTGTCAAACATAACGTCGGGAGCCTGCCATAGGGGGGCTTGCCATATGTCGCGCATGAAGCAGACGGGTCCTGAGGCAAACGGGTCTTGGAGCATTTTCGTCGCTTTCGGGCCCTCCCCGGGCCGCAGTCAGAAAAGGATTCAAGATAAAGAGTGGGTCCCGGGGGGAAGGCCCCGGGGTCCAGGACCCCGCTTACTCCACGCCAAAGAAACCATCTTCGCACAGCGAAGCATTGCCACAGATCACCCTGTCCCTGGCATGTTGCCCCGGTCACACTGGGGGCGCGAAGGTAATTGCGCTTCGCGCGTTGCGGTCTTGGCTGGAGCGGTTGCCATTCCCCAGGTGAGTTCGGCGCGAGGCAGCGAAAATGATCGCGCATCGCGGGACGCGAGGCGCGAAATGAGGGTAAGCTAGATAGCAGCGGTGGGAAACTCCAGGCCCACCAAGGAGCGCGGGCGCCGAGGCTGGCATCGAGGGCGTGGCCTGCGTCGTGCTGATGTGCGCGGGCCCCCTCGTGTTCCGGCTCGTTGCGTGGACCGCCCAGGCGTCGCGGAAATGCGGGGCGGTGGTCAGGAAAGGGAAAGCGGACTAATTCGAACGCAGATGACCGGGTGAGAAGCAGGGGCCACCGCCACCGAGAACACATTTGAAGGGGAGGGCGGGGGGCGAGAAGGGCGGTGGCACGCCCCAGCGTCAGCCAGTACAGGACGACTTTCGGGCGTGCCACCGCTCAGCACGGGCTCTCGGTGGCGGTGGTCCCTGTTTCCCATCTGAGATGATGAGCAAATCGCTCACCTGAGCCATCGTCGTCCAGGCGGGCCTCGTGAGCGATCACTTTTGCCGAGCGACCACTCATACCAAACGACGTTCGTCGTTGGGAGAGACTGGGCCAAACTATTTAGTCAATTCGTCGGCCGTGCATCGTCGACGGATCTGCGGCTTGCAGGGCAAGATGTGGGCACACTCGTGTTGAACACGGATTCGTGTTGCGAGAAAGGGTGCCTCCCGTCTTGCATCCATTTCTCCTCCATCCCTGCATCCCCCATCCCTCTCCCTGCCCCTTCCAACCGACCTCTCCTCCCCTCGCCCCCGCTTCCCTTCCGTTCCTTCCGCCCGTCCTCCCTCCTCCCATCCCTCCAGCCCTCTGATAGTTATCCCTCCCTCCCCGCCCTCCTCTTCCTCCTGTGGCCCTCCTTCCCCCCCCCGCTCTTACCTCCCATCCCTCCTCCCTCCTCCCTCCCTCCTCGTCCTCCTGCTGCTCCTGCTCCCTCCAGCCCTCCTCCGGTTCAATGGCGACGGCGGCGGCGCAATCCGTATTAATGCCACCGAGCAGCCGCACTGACCCGGGCTGCACCCCTGCATTCGAAAATGCACCGAGCGAGGCAGACGCCAGCCAAGTCCATCCCTCCAGTCCATCCCACCGATCTACCCCACTGATCTATCCCCCCGCCTTCACTCGAAGCAGCATTAAATCTGTATAGACATGAACTTTCGGAGCCCGGCGCGGATGTCTTTGATCTGCGCTGGGCCCATCTGGCGGCACCTCCGGCGGGCTGAGCACAGATCCAAGAAATCCGCGCGGGCCTCCGAACATGTGCGTATGCCTTGTATTCTTCTCTGCTCCAGGCCTCCGTTTTCCGCCTTCACGCATCCAGACATCCGGCGTCTCGTTTTCTTCTAAACACGGCCCCCCGACCTCTCGGCCACTTGCCCAGCACCAGTTTTTCATCCCGAGTCGCTTCTCCAGAGTCCCGAGGCTTGGTGAGGGCCCCGCGAGGCCGAAATATGTGAAAGACCTCTGTCTCGAGATTTTCCAGACGCCAGAATGTTTGTGTTCGTTTCTCCAGGCCTCCCCCTCGCCTTCACGCAGACTCCTCCTCCAAGCCTATTCCATTTCGGTAATTTCTTCCTGCCCAAGGCCAGTTTTTAGGGCGGCCCGTGCATTTCGCTTGAGACTTCCTCACCATTTTTGATTCTGAAGCATAAGAAGTGGCAACAGCTTCACAGATGGAGGGTGGGTGGTTTTCAAAATGTGGTTCTCCTTTTCGCGCCGCGCACATCCGCTTTCAAAATTGTAAGAGGTCCACGGATTGAGGGCGGGTGGTTTTCAAAGTGTGGTTCTCGTTTTCGCGCCGCGCACATTTGTTTTCAACATTTGCAAGAGCTTCACGGATTGAGGGCTGGTTTGTTTCAAAATGTGGCTCTCAACCTCGCGCCGCGCACATTCGTTTTCAATATTCGCAAGAGCTTCACGGATTGACGGCAGGTAGTTTTGAAAATGTGGTTATCGCTGTAGCGCCGCGCACATTCGCTTTCAAAAGTTTGCAAGATTTTCACGAATTGAGGGCGGGTGGTTTTCAAATTGTGGCTTTCGCCTTAGCGCCGCGCGCATTCGTTTTTCACCATTTGCATGCGTTTCATGGATTCCGTCAGGTTGATCCGTGGCGTTGAAATCCCGAGAGCCATGTGTTGGCATGTTGCAGGGTCTTCACACGGCTCCAACGAAGAAGTTCCCTCAATGGAAATGAACTGTTGTAGGGGCCTATGAAGAGGGAGCTTGGAGGGATGGTTAATTCCAACATGGTTGGTGACTCTTGGGTTTACACTGGTCCTCCTTCTCCTCCTCCTCCTCCTCCTCCTCCTCTTCCTCCTCCTCCGCCCTCTCAGCTGCCGTGGTGAGACAAGGGGAGGAAGGGGCAGCATAATGAATTGCACGCGCATGACACATCGCATATCCGAGGCTTTTCACAGCTTCCATGGCGCATAGAGGAGTTGGGGTTGCTGCCTGTCTTCGTTGATTGCGAGTCCTGGCTTATAACCCGCTCAGTGCGTCTTCTACTGATCGATTGGAAGATCTGGAATGCTCGTTTCGTTCGTTTGATGTTACGGTACTGGTTGGCACACAGCAGCGCTCGGCCCCAGATGGCTAGACCACCAAGCGCAAGATCGGCAAGAGCACGCTGGTGCAGGCGGGCTGGCTCCTGCCCCCTTCATCACCAAGGCGGCTGGGATGTCTATCTTGCTTAGTGGCATTTTCTCTGAAAGGTCTATTCGTGGACCGCCGTTGCTTCCCCCACGTCAGCTGCAGAGTCGAGGACTCGGACTCCGACTCAAGGCCAACATGGTTGATGTGACAGTGTTCGGAGCGTACTTCCCCCGAGATCCACTGCGCGTCGTGCTCGGGCAAACTATTTCTCCACGGTCCAGAGGATGATTACCTGGCTCAGGAGGGTTTTTTCTTTTCATAAGATTAGGGGACGCTCGATTTCGATATTGGCCGTGGAATTGAATGACGGGATGGGGGATGAGGAGATCGCAGGTAGTTATGAGTACGCCAACTCGTCGGTGATTCGTTCAGAGGTATATACTCGGGAAGTATGGAGGGACGGTGCTGGGCATAAGCTTCGGCTACTTTTAGAAGAGCTCGATTTCGCCATCCAACACGTGGCACGGCCCCAAGGGAGAGTGCAAACGCTTGGATATGGTCGTCGCTCCGTCGGGCATGGCTGCCAGAGTACAGAGGGCGGGTGTTCTACACAGACTGGGAAGGGAGGTCCAGTTAATCAATACTCGGGCGATTCGAGATCACCTGCCCGTGCATGCTGCCTGGCAACTTTTTTTTTTATCGAGAACCCACGCCTAGGGCGGCGGCGAGATGGGATAACAATCTGCTGATGGAAGGGTTAATGAAGGGAGTGAGGAGGAGGGAACTACTACGAGTCATCAACGATGAGTGCGAGGAGAGAGAGTCGGAGTTAACGAGTATGCTGAGAGAGAGAACCCCTGATAGTTTTTTCTCTGCTCCCAACGAGCTCATAGTCCTGCGGGGCCTGTCGATCTACGATGTCGGTGAAAGCTGCTCCCACGACGTGCTGGAGATGCGACGTCGACGGGAAGATTTGCTAGCGCGCCGCAAAGAGATTAGACTCGGTCTGGCTGAAGTGGGAGAGGAGGAGGAGGGGGAGGTTGCGAATCAGCTGCGTGCAACTACCCGACTGGCACATATGATCAGACGCGCTCAGAATGGTGCAAAACGCAGGCTCTATTCAGAATTCCTTCAAGACGTTTGGAGGAAGAGGCAGTTTGTGGATGTTAACCCATATTCGAGGTTGGCCGCTGGCAGCTCCTGGGGCCCGCGAAAACGTAACTATCGACATTTAGCGGGGCCCGGCCTCACCGAGCAGGAATGGTTGGACGTCTGGAGCCGCCCTGGAGGCGAGGGGGACATGGAGGTGGAGAAGATCGACTGGGAGGAGCACAAGAGAGGAAGGTTAAGGGACTGCGTTACGCACGATGGGGAGTGGGACGAGTACGTGGAGGAGGCGGAGGAGCTGATCAAGGGGGCGGTCGAGTATTTCAGGCGCGCACCAAAGAGGAGAGTGGTTCCGTCTGGGTCGGCCCCGCTGGAAGTTTGGTTTTCGCTATGCCGACCTCGAGACAGCTGCGTTTCAAGAATGCGGGCCTGGGCTGGCAGTCCGAGAACAGCGGTTTCATCCCTCATGCCTTTCAAGCTCCTTTGCTTCGTGGCTTTGGTAAGATATGCCCGTCTGGGGGGGCGCCGCTGGAGTGGCATCGCAGTCAGGGGTTTGCTCTTCATTTTTTTAACAAAAAAAACCGTTGGGGGAGCCACGAGTAAGAGAGTCGTGCTCTTATTTGATGTGATTGGCAAAGGTTTCTTCGCTGCTGCAATCAAGCGCGGCTGCTCGACCAAGCTGGGAGATTGCGAGCGCGGCTTCTGCGGGGGAAGGAGGAGGGAAGGAGCGATGCTGGTTCAGCAGTGCAGTATGTCCAGAGTGCGAGCCTGCGGCCTGTCTTGTCTTCTGCAGGGCAAGGACATGGCCGGCGCGTTTGCCTCGTCCTCTCGGCAAGCTCTGGGGTCTGCGAACGAGGCGATGTTGAGCCCAGCGGACAGAGTTTTTGGTCTGCAGCGATTTGAAGAAGCCACAGTTCGACTACCGATTGAGGGGGGAAACGTCACTGACAAAACGAAGGTGGGCGCGTTGATGGGGGGCCCGTATGCGGCGCATGGCTTTTGTCGCGCTCTCCGACCTGCTATTGAAGAGAACCAGAGCCTGCAAGGAGACTTTGATCCAATGGCAGAGGCGCCCATCGCTGCTCATCCTTTTCTGCCTGATTAGCATCGACCTATCTTTTAACGAAATACGCCGGTGTCACGGAGAAGCTTTTTGTCGGGGCGCCCCGGGTCCACCGAGATGTCCTGGTTTTTGCATGGAGAAGGTAGATATCAGGCAGTTCGAGGATTTGGGGCACGCGTTTTTGAGCTGTGTCACAAAGCTATGCATTCCAGTGAAATTTTAAATCAGCGTTGATCAAAACGAGGATGCCAGCAGAATGCGTCGAAGCAGAGTAACTTGTTTTCGTTGATTGGAATAGGTTCCGCCATTGCTAGAAGGGTACTGCGTAAAAAAAGGCTTCCTATTGAGGGGGCTATTCATGAAGTAAAGCGAAGCCTGGGGGGTCACATTCGTTTTCGTGGATCGAGTTCGGCGGAGGTGATTAAGGCATTAGAGGCCATCCAGACGGCTTGTTCACAAGGCAATCGTTTTTGGAGCCCGCGTGGCATCCCGCGGCGCTGGAGGCGCTGCATGTTCCTAGCAAGATGTGTGAATGCTGCAAGGGCGAACCTGGAGGCGTTTGTTGTCTCTGAGTGGGATTTCGGCAGGCTTGACTCGGCGCTGGCGCGGTGCGCCAGAGTACTGATGCAGGGAAAAGCTGCCGACGATTCAGATGAACATGTCAAAAATATATATCGAATGAACAAGTCCTTCGGCACTGGGAGCTTTTCCCGACCAGCGTCGAGCGCAGAGTTATTCGCACGAGGTGGCTACAGGCTTGGATCCGTCATCCACTGAATCACGCACAGGAGGTTACAGTGGTTTTCGGCCGGCTCGTGATCGAGAGTTTCGACGCAGTTGATTACGTCACGGGCAAGGTCTCACAGCGGGCCAATCCGTGGGCCGTTCAGGCCTGGA